GGAATACCCTTTGCGCTGGACGTAGCGCCAGAAGAGGTCTTCCACCTCGCTCCAGGTCATGTTGTCATTCGGCTTGACCCAGTGGAAACCCCACACAGGATGGAGTCCACCCTTGTCCTCCGGCTTCTTGCGAAGCGTGGTGAACTCCTTCAGTGTGAGCTTGTGTGGTGCTAGTAGCACACACCGGGCGACTTCAACGTCGCCAAGAAAGAGTGGCTCTTTCTCAACAAGAGCACGCTCATAGGAACCCCTCGAGGTGTACCCGCCGATAAGGCCACGAGGAGCCGAGAGCTTCTCCAACAGCGCTGGCGCACCAGTGCCAGGCTCGGGTGGGAAGTAGCCCTGCGGGTACGTGGCATCCCCGCCTGAAGAAGACTCGATGGCAGTCGTGGCAGTCGACTGCCTGGCATACGCACCCGAGCTAGCAGCGTGGTATTGCTGCTGCTGCTCGTCGAGGTTGTTGGAGAGCTCCTTGGGCTCGTGGACGGCACCCTCCTCATCCTCAGACTCCGAGTCGATGAACAGCTTGGAGCTGGAGCCGCGAGGCGACCTGAAAGCTGAACGCTTCTTCGCCTTGGCCTCGGCGGCCTTCGCAGCGGCAGCCGCTTTCGACGCTTGGGCACGCTCACGACCTTGTACCAGCGTCAGATGCTTGGATGCCAGCACCTCCTTGGGCTTGGAGCCCGCGTCGCTCGGCGACTTCTCGGCCACGACCCCAGCGTCGGCCATGGCGACTTCGTCGTGCGACTGCTTGCTGTCGCCGGCGTCCTCCGCCTCCTTCCCTGACGAGGCCTTTGCGTCGGCCGAGGCGTTGGTCATGTCGCCTGCCGCCAGCTCCGTGCCTTCGGCAGCGTGCGTGCTGCCCTCCGAGACGTTCTCGTCGTCGGGTGAACTCTCACCGGAGTACTGGACCATCGTGCAGTCAAAGACGGCGGCTTCCCAGTCGCGAGCCGGGCTTTTATGGCCCCGAGGACTCTCCTCCTTGCCTTGCGCGGCGTCAGGAGACTTGCTCCGAGCCCCGGCCTGACGGCCACTCTCCGGCGTGCTGCTACGAGAGCGCACCACCTCCTCGGCCGCCTTCGTGGCCTCCATCAGCGCGGACGACTCGTTCTTGGCCTTGGCCGCCCTGGTCTTCGGCCCTACGGCCGGCGGTTTCGGAGGTGCTTTCGCACTGCGCGCACTGCGCTTTGGAGGCATGCTTCCGGTCGACGTGGAGACCCTGCGGCTTGTTCGGCGATGCGCCAGTTGCTCTGTGAGGCCCGGGAGCCGAGGCGCCAGAGCTCGCGCCGTTGTCGATGGATTTCGACTTTGCGAGTGAAATATGAGTCGCCGGCGTAACTTCGCTCTGATTGGTCGATAAGATCGAATCTCAAATGGGTCGTATACTGTAACGGGGTTACATGAAATAGTGACCCTGTCACTATTCCGGGGTGGCTACATCGGTCACTCCCCTGGATAGTGACCCAAGTGGCCTCAGAGCCAACAGATACATTTTGTATGACACAAACTATAGGGAACTTAGGATTTGTATGCAGGCCAAATCTGTACCAACCTATAAATACATTCAGTCTTAGATCTACCGCTTTTCAAGTCAAGTCGTCCCCTTCAGACCAGGGACACGTGAAGGGCTGTTCACTTGGAGTTTGTATACTCCTGCTTCCTCTGTTAAGAAGTGCTGTGTGCCCCGTCACATATACAGAACGGACCTGGTATTTTATATGAGTTTTTGTAAGCTTTTGGTCAGATGAAAACACATGTTCTAGCGGACACGTTGCCGCAACTCGGAGTTAGTTTTCTTTATGCGGGGGTCTGGGGGTTGCCCCCCCCCCAGAATGCCTAGAATGCATGAAACCCGACCACAGATCAGGTCCGTTCTGTATCTGACCGCAACGATAGGTTACCCTTCAATCGATAGAGAGCTGTGCTTTGCCGGCAAGCGTTTGACCAATCATGTCGCACAGACGTTGCTGGAATCAAGTTTCCAAAACGACAAAGAAAACTCTGCATACTACGAGTTACAGCGAGAACGCCCATGTCTTAATCCTGCCATATCCACGTTTCACTTGGGCGAGAGACTTTCTCTCCAGACTTTTTTCATCCACGTTCTAGCGCCTAAGCGATCTGTTGGAGCATGGTGCTCATATCATGCAAACGAGTACAAACATCTCGCTCTGCTTGCGACCTCAGTTGCAAAATATATTTTTGTAAGAAAAAACAACAATGTGGACATTTTCAGTCCCCCTGCGCCAACCATGATCGTTTCCGATGCGGTTTCTTCGATCAATCCGTGCCAAGATACGGGTTTTCTCCATGCTCAGCAGCTTGGTGTAGTCGCTGATCTTTTCTTTTTCAATACTATACGTGGCTTTTGCCGACGCCACGCTGTCGAGCTCGCAGTGACAAACCCCTAAAACAATGAGCTTCCAACCCTTGGATCCCACGCTTGTCTTCGACCCATCAGTGGTTACCAGCTTTACTGGCCCTGATGGTCAAACAGGCATCTACGTGGACGCTGATCAAATGAACAGCAGCATGCTTTTCAAGACGAACGACACCTCGGCGATGTACATTGGCAAGTTCCAAACGTTTCGCCACTGCTGATCAGATCAACTACTTGCAGGGGGCCAGCACGGGCATCACTGTCGGCGGCAAGGCACTGATTGCTGATGGTAACCGCAACATTGGCAACATCGCCACGCTCACCGCGGACAAACTCAGTGGCACCGCAATCACCGCAGCCCAATACAAGTTCTACAAGAGCTCGGACCACTCGCGCGCGCTGCCCAAGCACTTCCAGATGGGCGTGGTGGTCGAGGGCGCGCACGAGTTCCACTCGGCGCGTCTCACCAAGAAGCAGCGCCGCAAAATCTTCACGGACGAGATCATGGCGGATGAGGCCGTGGTGCAGTACACCCACCGCGTGGCCAGCAACATCCCGGCCGCGCGCGCCACCACGGGCCGCAAGAAGAGACGACGCAACTAGACTAAGCGTGAAAGTGGCTCCGCGACCGAGCAATATAGATTTTCGTGCATTCCTGAACGCCTTCGACTCTTGTTCGTCGTTGCCGTGTCTGTCTGCAGGCAGTTGAGATTGCGAACAAGCAGCGGCGGTGATTGTTCGTGGCCCGTTGCCTCGTCGTGAGGAAGCTTACGAACAAGAGGCCGCAGTGCTCTCCATCACAACTCGAGCGACACCCAAGCCATTGCCATTACCACTGCCGCTGCAACGCCGTCGTCGCTAGCGTCACTCGAGCAACTCGCTACGCGCGACTCGTCGTGGTGCTTGGGGCCATCCCACCGGTGGCTGGTCAAGTCAAGTTGAAAAAGCTGTGGAGAATCGCGACCAACTGTAGCAGCAGCCAACGCAACGCGCCCAGTAGATACATTACCAAGCTGTCGAGCTCGATCGCGGCGAGCGTGGGCCGACCCCGAGCGCCGGCGCCTCATAGTTCGACTGCTTTTCGGCGGTGCGACTGGAGCGCTGACGCTGGTGCTTCTCCACGAGACGCTCAAGGGAACGTGCAGCACTCCGTGGGAAGCTGTACGCTTAGTCGAGCGTTTGGCTGCCGTCGTGGCCTCAACGATCGTCGGGTTCGTGGCACGCGGGTGCAAGCCCAGATCCAAGAAGTGGACGCTGCGCTTCGAGGACTCGAAATGTATACCCCGGGAAATTTTTTCCGTATGCAAAGTCGCATGGATCATGAATTATGGATGGTTACTTCAACGAGGCGAGCATTCCCTCCCGGTCAAGCTTCGATTTTGTTTTAGCATTTCTAGATCGTTGTCCAGAATGTTCTCGTATCCTAAGTGCTGCTTTGTCCTGAAATGCACCACTTTTCACACGTGAAAGAAGATAGTCGCAGACTCTCTCTCCGCATCCGAGCTACTACTTTCCGGCCGCCTTCTTGGCCGCCTCGATGTATCGTTTCACATCGATATCCGGTCTGTTGATGATCTTGTTAATACTCGCAACGGGGGCTTTCCATACCCCACCGTTCCCGTTCCCCCTGCCGCTCTGGACAACTTGTTGGCCTGCAAACCGAAGGGATCTTTTGGCCGCAGAATCAGGAGATACCTTCGACAAGAGCGGAGAGTCGTCAGGATTCGAGGGCTCTGCGACGACGGTGCTGCAAGCTAAAGCCGCAAAGCCAAGAGCAACGTAGAATAGACTGCGCATGACTGTGGAGGAGAGGGAGTCCGCTGGAAAGAAGGGTCTTGTGGTCTTGAAAGACAAACGTGGAATGACTGCCGACCATCGTAGGATAGTTGACGATGCCCCGCACTGTACTGTATCGTCAGACAAAAACTGAAGACTTGTCACAATGTTGACTCTGTGCAGCATCAACTCCCCAGCAGAAAATAGTATCACAGGTGGGTGTTCATAGCCGCGGCGCCAACTGGGTGCGAGTACGTGCCAAAATCCGCGCGGTATTTGCGGAGGCGGGCCCAGCGCCGAGCTCACCAGCAAGCCGTGCATTACACTCTTCACCCGCATGCACTCTCCAGGACATCGTATCTTCATATCGCGAGCATAAGGAATCACGGGGGTGCCGAAGGCGTCTCTAAGGCGTCTCTAATCCTCGATTACTTCTTGCAACATCCAGGAAGAAGTCAAAAGATTTGCTGTCGTCTAGGACATGTTAGGCCAACACATAACATTGTTAGCATGAGATGAGGCCCTCCATTTGGGTAAACAGATGACAGTAGGTAATGCCCCAAAAAGGGCAACACGCGAACCCAAAAGGGCCGACCCACGCCTCGATTCGAGGCTCGAACAAACCAAACCAAACCAAACCAAACCAAACCAAACCAAACCAAACCAAATGGTTTGGTTCGAACGTTTCATAAAAGAATACCGATTTCGAACCTGAAACTCTCGGTATACTGGTTCCTTGAAACCAATTAAACCATCGTGGCGCGGACGAACCGTACGTTTTAGTTTGAAAATGGCGCCCGACACCGTAGAACCAAGTAGCCGCAACGAACCTTGGTTCAAACGGTTACTTGGTTTTGCTCATTCTGCGAACCATTTGGTTTGGTTTGGTTTGGTTTGGTTTGGTTTGGTTTGTTCGAGGCGTGGGCTGACTCACATTTGCTGTTTACGGGTAAACTGCGAGTTGACCCAATTTCTTTGTTGAGAGTCACTGCGCCCCTGGCCCAATAGCAAGTTGAGGGTCAACTGCATAACTGACCTACGTTCCCCGCTCTGGGTTATCTATAGCAAATTCCGATGAAAAAGGGTGATTTATAATGTGATGCCTTGTTGTGGTAAGAACGCAGCCGCACTCGATTCCGCGTGAACCGCACGATCGGGTGATCCTGCTAAAATGGCAAAAAAATAAATAAACTAGAGCTCTGCGTAGGCTGGGATAGCTTGGTAGTTCGCATTAGTACTTCACCATAAATCACGCCGCGAATAGAGTAAGGTATCTAGCGGGTCACATTGCCAGAGTGTCAGAGCTATACGTTCAAGTACGGGGATGAAAAATGGTAGGGCTAACAAAACACAATAGAAGTTTGGTAGTTGACTATGGCAAATGAGCAGATAATCAGCGGGCACGTAACGCCAGTACGAGTACTGCATTCCTCCTGCACCGCCCGATACTTACGTATCTTATATCTCCATCGAAGGGTTATTGTTTGACCTGTTTAGTTAGCTGACAAGAAAGACACAAAAACAAAAAAGCGTTCTCAGGAATTCGGTAATTCTAACATGCAGCACAGCTACCACCTTCTCAATTAACAGTACCGGTAAACGTGCGAGAACTGCTTCTAGGAATAGCGATATTTTTTGCTACGTTGGGTCTACAGCTACGGCATCTAACCTTGGTTTGCAAGTGGAGGTATGAAAAGAAATATAGATCGACTGTGGTTTGATCAATACTGCAAGTAAAACCTCACGCACGCAGCAGGTTATCGTCATTATTCTTGTGCGTCTTGATGAAGGTCTTGGAGCGACTTGTCTCCCGAACGAGTCTAGTTTTTGAAAGCTTTGTACCAGGGTAGGTAGGGCCTGTAAAACAACAAACAAAGTAGCGCGCTTACACCATGTTCAACACCATTCTCTCTCCTCAAGAGACAACAAGCTCCTACCTTCACGGCTGTTCCGTCCACAGCAAGCAACACAGCGCTGACAAAATAGATTTCACAACAAACTTTCGAATGAGCGGCGTCGCCTGCTGCTCCGTTGACACAGTCTTACGACGTTATTATAATAATGGTACCACAAAATATACTTTTCGCCCCAGCTATCACTGATAGATAGCCTATCAGCAGTACTACCGGTATTGGTCGCAGTCAACGTGATGACTGCGACAATGAATCTTGCGGATAACGCAAAGTAAGATTATAGTACCCCGTGCGTAACGGAATCCTGATGATCAGGCAGAAATCAAGTGAACTATAACGACAAACTAGATGCCCATTTAACGACAACTTTAATGACGGCAACTGCAGCTCCACTGGTTAGCAGGAGCCGCAGCATTAGGAGTAACTCGTGTCCCTACTTGCGCCGTTCCGTGCCAACTGCGCCACCGACTTGATCGCTGCGGTAGCCTATACATTTTGATCCGATCTTACTGCCGAGGTTTGGCCAGGTAAAGTTGGATGAAATGCAGTCTAATATATCATCTAGCTATCGTGGCTATTCAATACTTTATCTATCGAATCAGACTAAGCATATTTCTTTCAGCGTATTTAGCTTTTATTTTTGCTTTAAATTGATTTAACCGCGTACCGCTCAGCTCGTTGCGCTTTACAGCAATGTTATGATTGTAGCACCACCCTATTTTCAATGTTGAGAGACGTTGTTTTCATTGATTAATTGCGCATTATTGTGGGGTGTGCCTCCGGCCCGAAGAAGCTCTGAAATTTCAGGTTTAAAAAAAAAATTGGTGAGGCAAAAGAGGAAAGGGATGCACGTTAGGTTGAAATGTTCTTCTCCTCGACACTTCAGCAATTTCAGCGTTCTTATCCAATTTTTCAATCGCTGCAAGATCCACGCTCAGCTTCTCCACGAAATTCGGGTTCCTCTCCATGACCTTGTCCAGCTTGATCACAATGGACATACTATCCTCTTCACAGCACTTCTCAGAGTGGAAACACGCCGGATTACACAATTCAACATGCAGACAGTTTACCTGCTCCTGGGGGCGCTTGTTGTCAGCGCCAATGCCGCTATTGTCGCTCAGGAATAAGCTACACAAGCAACTACCACGTACTCACAGTGCTAACGAAGATAGAGAGCTACCAACTAACGAAACGAGAAGGAGGAGAACATGTTCGCACCCTCAGCTGTCGCAAATTGCGACTCGCAATCCTCAGAGGTCTCCTCGGGAAAATCACTGGTACCGTCATGAGCTGAAATGGACTCATCGTACGGCATCCCTCCGCTGGGCACTTTTGAGATGATGAGGTATATTGGACAACTTCTCCTAACGAGGATTGAGTCCTAGCAACCCTACTTCCGTGGTTTAACACTCGGCCGCTTCCTCTCCACTATTCCCTTGTAGGTGTTGATCTATTAGTGCCTCTGTTGCATCTGTGTGCGTGTTAGCCCACTCAAGCATACATCGCGACACTAGTGTGTCGATATGTGGGAATCTTGCCTGAATTGCCTCTGTTTCGAGGTCGTGCGTCAGCTCTTCCTCCGTTACTGTCAAGGCCAGGGTGCGCGCTGCAGCG